TTTTTTGGTTTTTCTCCGGTACCGGGAACCGAACTCACGACCTTGCGCTTGCCAGGCAGGCGCTTTTGCCGCTGAGCTAAATCCCCAGCCCAAGATGGTCTGTTTTATTTATTTTTTTATTTAGGGGAGAGACCAGCTGTCATATAACCATCTCTCTAGGCAAGATCTGGTGGATCCCAGTAAAAGGAATCTAAAAGTAATCTAACGTATTTGTTATAGGTTTTATCTGTATCATTACCTGGGGTCTGGTAAGAACCTGGGGTCTGTAGGCAAGAACAAATTTTCCAAGAAATTAGAGCATGTATAATCAAAGCATGAGCATTAGAGTTGAGAGGTTAAACTATTTTTAAGAGCTAACAGTGTAACCCACTGGCTCTTAAACTCCTTTACTGATGGAGTCTGACATTTTGTCATAAGTCCCTCTAGATTTAGTCATAAGTATCTGTAAAATTTTATGACTTATAAAAACCAGATTCACACCGTATTTTGACAGATGAAAAACTCTTTAAATTTTTGTACATGAACAACAGTATGTATTACCTTTGTAAAAACGAGTCTCAGCATCATTTTGATCAGTTGGCAACTTGGATATATATTACAGTATTTAGGCAGGATAAAATCTTTCCAGGATGAGAGCTGGGCTTTTAGGCATAACTAAAAGGAATGAGTGAACAGAAAGTTATCCCAGTTACAGCTTAAGATATGAAATATATATTTTTAGTGACTTTTTATCAAGGTATGAGGACTTTATCAAGGAAGGTCGGTGTTGGAGAAGGACAAAGAGACCTCTGCCAATGTCCAGAAATAGGCTGTTTTTTTTTCCCTGTAATCATGGTTACTCAGGACCCCTCCGGGCGATGACAGTTTGGCCAGAGGGAGGAGGCAGCCCTGGCCCTTTAGTCCTTTTGGACCACCTGAGAAGATGAGTCTGAGCTCTGGGGCCTCTGCTTCAGAGTGCAATCTCACTTTCAGTGAGTTTGTCTTTTCTTTTGCATAGTTTTTTTCCCAGTTCACAATATCTGTTGTATATTTCAGATGTTATTTTCTTATTTAGTTTCT